ATGTCGCAGATGGTGCAGCAGAGTTGCCATATAAAAGAAAGTTGCTGAGTGACCTTGACCTGCAGTAAACCCGAATTCTGCCTTAGCACTTTGTGATGTTTGTTACCACAAGATAGCATAGCATATTCTGACTAATACAGAAAGACTGTGAGAACTGACCAGACTCCCTTCACACTTTATGCCTATTTCCTTGTAAGCATTCTCATTGTTTTCACAGGTGTGTTCTATTGCCTATATCTGATAGGAAGTTTGACTTTTTTTGTTTGTGATTATCCTTGCTAATGAGCTGTCCCCTGACCCCTAACCAATGTTCTTATAGTAAATAACAATAACCACTTCGCTGATTTAATATGACAAATAAATAGTGCAGACTAGATGATCAAAATTTATTTCAATCTCTCCCTTCATCTTTCTTTTCGTTCTTTTATTACTACCTTCTTTCCTTCTGTACTTCTCTTTTCTTTCTCTTTCTCTTATTTATTTCTCATCCTCTCTCCTCCCCACCCTCTGCAAACAATAGCTGCTCAATAAATGCTACTGATGATCTCTTAGTTGATAAAAATAAAAAATGTCCAAGTGCTAAATACTGTGTCCTTGTTTTTCCTTCTCTTCTTCCTTTCTTCTCTCATCCCACCTCAGATCCCTGACTCTGGTCCAGAATAACTGTCTTGTTGATTTTTATTCTTTGACATGGTCCGGGGACTCAGCTTGACAGTCTGGGGAGTGTTAAGCATGAAGGTTTCTGCCTCCCAGAGTCTTTTTTGGGGTTTCTAGGCTACACAATGAAACCCAATCACCCCAAATCTCTTTATTCTTAATACATACAAGCCTCTTTTCTATAAAAGTATTATTATTACTATAATTGGAAACAGTAGATCACAAAAACCTTTGGCAAAGGGACTTAAAGATCTTTAGGCTCGTGGTGCCAGCCTAAATTCCTGCTTCTCTAAAAGGTGGTAATTGGTCTAAAGAAATACAATTTTAAAGTGCACTAAAAATGATAAAAGATAAGCAAATCTTAAACTAGCCAACCCTTCTGGCACCCTGTGACAGGGATTATACCTATACAAGCAGCTGGTATTGGGCAATGGTCCTCAGCTACTTACTTATATGGTTCCAGCCATTACTTTTGAGGTCTTCCTTTATTCTTAAACTTACCCAGTTCCTGTCCTTTAATTTTGGCTATAGTTTTCAGCTTTAAATGCAACTATTGTCCCTATCAGCAGATAATGTTTCTTGATTTTACTCTTCAAAGTCCTCTATCTGCTATGTCCTATGTCTGTGCTTGGACATTTCCTCTGGCTTCATTTATTCTAGGTCAACCCTCAGAAGCCCACCTTAGTTAGCTCTAACCCTAGCAGACCAGCCCAACATGGAACTGGGAATATACGAATAACCTAGAAATAAAGACCTTTTAAAAGTGAACAAAATGAAGTGTAGGATCAAAAGTCCATGATGTGCTGGAGCTGGCTTGCACTATCTAGTGAGAGCTGATTGTTACGTTTTTAGGAATTTCGCAAGTCAGTTGTTAAACATAACCATTATTAAAAAATAAACTATTTAAAGGCCGGGCATGGTGGCTCATGACTGTAGGAAGTTTGATTTTTTTGTTTGTGATTATCCTAGCACTCTGGGAGGCCATGGCAGGTAGATTGCTCAAGGTTAGGAGTTTGAAACCAGCCTGAGCAAGAGCGAGACCTTGTCTCTATTAAAAATAGAAAGAAATTAATTGGCCAACTAAAAATATATAGAAAAAATTAGCCAGGCATGGTGGTGCATGCCTGTAGTCCCAGCTACTCGGGAGGCCGAGGCAGAAGGATCGCTTGAGCCCAGGAGTTTGAGGTTGCTGTGAGCTAGGCTGATGCCACGGCACTCACTCTAGCTTGGGCAACAGAGTAAGACTCTGTCTCAGAAAAAAATAATAATAAAATAAACTGTTTAAACTTTTAATTAAGTAAACTATGTTAAAGGCAATACATGAAAAGCTCATCACCTCAATTCTTTTACTAGATTCTTATTTCCTATTTTCTGGGGGTTATTTGCATCTAATGTATCTGTATGATGAAATGCTATAAAATGGTACAGGACTGTGCATGTTTTCTCAACTTTGTGTTCCTCTACAAATGAGGGCTTTCCCCTGTACATACAACTGCCAAACATACTAGCAAGCACACTGCTACAAAAGGGTGGCAGTGTCTTTAAGATGTGTTTAATAAAGATAGAGGCATGAGGTGGGGAAAATACATATAGTTATTTCCTCGGAATCTACTCTCATACTGCCCCTTTCCTAAACAGGACCCTAAATCACCCAGCTACGTAGTTTGCATGGCACCTTGCCTTCAGCTGCAGAACTGGGCCCTTTTGTTTTAAGCCAAGTGGCTTATCCCAAACCTCCGACTACAGTAAAACTGGTTTAAAGATATATTTATAATCCAGATCAGGCCAACTGTGCCCACTGAGGCTGACTTGAGGGACCTGAATTTGAGCTACCAGGAAATCTAACCTGTCATTCCTGCTAGCTATGAACAAGGAAGCATAGAGCCTCCCTACCAGAAGACACTGGTATCATCTTGGAACCACAAATGAAAGAGACTACCCAAGAATGAACATACACTGAGGAACTAGAACCAAGAAATGGTGGGAGGAAAAACCAGGTTCTGGGCCAGACCTTATTTGAAAATCTAATCCTAGACTTTCTGTAAGTGAATGAATTTCTCTTTGTCTTTAGTCAGACTAAAGCGGACTTTTAGTAACTTGCACACAAATGATTCCTTTCTAATACATGACATGGAGTTTTTATCTTTATATGAGATTATCTAATAATCTAATTTCAGTTAGAAAGGAAATACTCTTCACCTTTCTTACTATGATTTTATATGTCCATATGGCTGACCTTCCAACAGAGTGCAAGGTCTTTGTAGGCCAAAACATTTTGGTGCACATCTTTGCATCTGTAGCTATCTTAACATCGTACCTGCAAGTAGGGAGCAAGGAGTAAGTGCTTAATATAGATTGGCTTAAATGAATTGATTTGTAAGTCAGAGAGAGGTTGTGCAAGAAGTGGAATGAATCAGAGTAAATTCCTCTTCTTTTCTTTGGCCAAGCAGCCAATTTGAATCCATCTGTTGTCATTTCTGAATGTCCCAGGGAAAAAGGAATGAAGCAATGTAGCTCTTAGGTCCAACAGTCCAGTCTCTCAACTGGAAGAGGTTATAGTTTTCTGCTGGAATAGAGTGAAAATAGGCCTTGGTCTTCTACTTGGCATAAACACTAAGAAAAATCCTTTGGTCTATGTTTTCATGATGTCAAGTATCTGGATAAGAATTAAAATGTGTAGTCAACATGCCTCAAAAAAGTCTACACATGTGATACCACATTGACAAAAGATCGGGTTATGTAGCTAGACTTCTCATTGTCTATCCAGGAGTCTTGGTTGCTTATGGCCGTGAATGTGTTGATGAGAGTGACAGTCCCAGAATTGAGTGAACTATGGCTCTGAATGATGAAACTTGTCCCTTATGACCCAGGAAGGGAAATAGGTCCGGGTCACTGGCAAATTAACATGAGTGTTATATCAGTTACATCTCATGGTAGAAAGAGAAAATACCCATGGAAATAGGAATGCTGCCAGCCTCTACTTTCTCACCCCTTCCTTGTTTTCTTTCCTCGACAACCCTACTGCTGTCCAACATACAATGTATCTGATTTATTTATATTAATTTAGTCCTATGTTTCAGGGAATGTAAGCTCCAGGAGGGCAAGGATTTGTCTTTATTTGCATTCACTGCTGTATTCCCAAACCCTAGCACACAATAAATGCTCAAGAAATATTCATCAAACAAATGAATGGACTTCAGAATGGCCATTTGCCAATCAATTCATAACTCAGAAACTAAAATAACCTGGGGGAGGGGAGGTGTTATTTTCCCAAAATTAAATTAAAAGACCCTGTGACTTAATGAGTTCTGGCTCAACTATAATCTAACTGTGTGTCTATAAGCAATTTTCTTAACCTTGTGCCCTTTTATTTCTCCATCTGGAAAATGGAGAGAATAGTATCAGCCCTATATTCTTCAAAAGTTTTCATGGATCTCAAAAGAGGCAATAGCTGTGACAGTATTAAGTTAAAGATTCAATGCAGAAGTTTAGCATTGTTTCATCAAATTAAACGGTGATCTTAGTTGTTCTTTTACTCATAAAACCGACAAAATTTTATTTATCAGCTTCTGTTCTCATACATGCAAGCAACTATGCATTAATCAATCAATCAATCAATACACACACACACACACACACACACACATATATATATGTATATATATATATTTGAGACAGAGTCTCACTCTGTTGGTCAGGCTAGAGTGCCATGGCATCAGCCTAGCTCACAGCAACCTCAAACTCCTGGGCTCAAGCAATCCTACTGCCTCAGCCTCCTGAGTAGCTGGGACTACAGGCATGTGCCACCATGCCCAGCTAATTTTTTCTATATATTTTTAGTTGTCCAGCCAATTTCTTTCTATTTTTAGTTGAGACGGAGGTCTCACTCTTGCTCAGGCTGGTTTGGAACTCCTGAGCTCAAACAATCCTCCCACCTCGGCCTCCCAGAGTGCTGGGATTACAGGCGTGAGCCACCGCGTGCTGGCCAATTTTATATATCTTTATTGCTTCCAAAGTATTGTTTTTAACTCTAAATAAAAAAATCATTGCCAAACAAAACTGTTATTTCTGACATTCTAATTTTGCCTTCAAAGTCACAAACTTTTTAAAGATAAAAATTGACATAGTCACAAATCCAACTGAACTGATATTTATTTAGACATGTGAAATGGCATCTCTCAAGGGTAATCACTCTTTCCCCTAGTATGCCAATAGCAAACCAGGCTTTTTGCTTTGGAAATTTTACTTAATTCTCTTTTCATTTTCCCATTCAGGGGAAACGAAATTCTATTTTGCCGGGTCTCCCCTCTTCCAGTCTTTAAAAAGAGACCCTGTACCTTTAATAACAGAGACCTGGTGAGAGGTTTCTCTCCAAACTTGTTCCCTGGCTTCCAAGTGACGAAATGAGCTGTAATTTGAGAGCAGAGAGATCCTCAGGATATCTGTAGCCAAAGGAAAAGCTCCACATTCCCACCCAGTCCAGGAATTGAAATAGCATCAGAGGGCAGGAGCCTTTCTCTGCAGCTACACGCTCGCTCCATCTCCCAGGAGCAAGGGGGACTCGGAGAGTCGGGTAGCAGCGCCAGCGTCCTGCCTGCAGGAGGGGTCCCGCCCTCGCCTGCAAATCGGCTCCGGGACAGCCCGCGCGGGGGTTGCAGCAGGGCAGCCGGCGCACAGCGAGGTGCACCCTGCGCGCTGCGGCACAGCCACATGAAGCCTGCTGGGGAGCGGGGGCCAGGGTGCAGCCAGCCGGCCAGGACAGAGGCGGACGCCGCCGTCTCAGGGGGGCACTGACTCCCAGGGAGACCCCCTTCCTTGTGCCTGGGCGGACAGTCTTCTCCTGGGGTCCCCGGTCATCCCGAATGTCCAGAATGGTGTTCCTGAAGTTCCTCTGGATGAGTTTCTTCTGCTACCTGTGTCAGGGCTACTTCGACGGCCCCCTGTACCCGGAGATGTCCAATGGGACTCTGCACCACTACTTCGTGCCCGATGGGGACTATGAGGAGAACGATGACCCCGAGAAGTGCCAGCTGCTCTTCAGGGTGAGTGACCACCGGCGCTGCTCCCAGGGGGAGGGGAGCCAGGCGAGTAGCCTGGTGAGCCTCACGCTCCGGGAGGAGTTCACCGTGCTGGGCCGCCAGGTGGAGGATGCCGGGCGCGTGCTGGAGGGCATCAGCAAGAGCATCTCCTACGACCTGGACGGGGAGGAGAGCTACGGCAAATACCTGCGGCGCGAGTCTCACCAGATCGGGGACGCCTACTCCAACTCCGACAAGTCCCTCACTGAGCTGGAGAGCAAGTTCAAGCAGGGCCAGGAACAGGACAGTCGGCAGGACAGCAGGCTGAACGAGGACTTCCAGGGGATGCTGGTCCACACCAAGTCCCTGCTGAAGGAGACGCTGGACATTTCTGTGGGGCTCAGGGACAAATACGAGCTGCTGGCCCTCACCATCAGGAGCCATGGGACCCGGCTGGGTCGGCTGAAAAATGACTATCTTAAAGTATAGGAGGAAGGGCACAGATGTGAGGGAGAGGGGATCGAATCAGCCTCACTGCGGAGGGTGGGAGATAGAAAATGGGGCTACATTTCCCTTATACCTAGTTTTTTTGTTTTTGTTTTTGTTTTTAATATCCAGATTTGCACTTTGAGAATGAATCTGAGGTCATCTTTAAAAAGAAAGAAAAAGTTTAGAGTTGAGTAATATTGTTTTTTGGTTTTGTTTTTGTACATTATTTATGTGATTGTTATGGCTATATCACCTGGAAAGACCAATTGCCATTCCTAGAGGGCTTTATAACTCTGCAGAGATACTTGTTTCAGCCACATCTATAAGGACTCAGTTTATGTGGTAGGGACTGATTAAGCTTCTCCATCTGGAGATTATGTGGAAATAGCCAAAGATTATAATGCGTAGCTCCTTTCGGCCTCCAGCCTTCTCTCTTGGGCTCTGAAAGCTGTCAGAGTTGCCTGTTTTTCAAATGAGGTCCAAGGTGCTGCTCCGTGTGCCTGCCAGCTCATGGCAGTAGCTTGTTTCTTCTCCTTTTCTCTCTTATTTATTAACCATGGTCAGAGAGTTGGGTTTTTCTTTTTTTCTTTTCTTTTAAAGTATTGTCAAGAAACTATATGCAAATCGTCCTTTGCAAGGAGATTTCTGAAGTGCTTCTGTGCCTATGTGTAAGTTAAAGTGACCCCATGTAAGAAGTTCAAGCTTTGCAGTGGTTGCACACTCGAGTGGATGTGCCGATTCTCTATGCCTCTTATTGTATGTCTATGCTTTGTCATCAGTGCTACAGTAAATTACAGAGAAGTAGATAGATTGCTTAAACATATCCCCAAATACCTATGATTTAGAGTTCCAATGTATTCTTTCTCATATGGGGGTTTTGCTTCTGTTGGCTTATTAGAAACTTGTACTTCAAGTAGGGAGAATTCTAATTCTAGTAACTCCTTAGCTAAGTTTTATTATGCAGACAATAAATATGTTTTCATATAATACTGGCTTATTTTCTAATTTACCTCTGTAACTTTCATATTTCCAAAAGGGACTAATGCCAAAGGAGAGATAAGGATGGGATTTAAGCCAGTTTACTTAGAGTATATGATAAAGAAGGCAGAAGGATAGCTACATATTTGGCAATTTTCCTCTCCCCAGCCACCTTTACTATTCTCAAAAGAAAAAAAAAATCTAACCTGTGCCAGAACTTTAAATTTGATCTCTATTGGTGTGCTTAAAAATTCCCATTTTCTCTAGTTTTTCTCCATAGACTCACCTGGACAAGTTTATGACAAAGCTCATACCTGATATGCCCTCATCCTGCAGAGAAGACAGTCTATTCTACGTTATGAGAACTACAATGATGCTTAATAATTTTAAATCCAGGTCAACATTATTTAATTAATGGCTTAAAAAGTTGGAAATGTACTTTAATTCATGTCTTGCCCTAGCCAGTCCTCACTCTTACCTTAAATTTGCTTTTTATTCACATAGATGCACGCAAATACACACACACACACACACACACACACACACGAGAAAATAAATAAATCTTCACATTCTGGTCAACAAAATCCATTTTTTGTTTCCCATACATGAGGGAGCAAGGTTCCTATTCCTATGAAGTATCCAATGTTCTCTGGTAACAATAGAGGAAAGCGAGGCCCAAAATGGCTAAGTGACATCCTCAGCTGGTTGCAACAGCCCCAGGTCTCTTGAATTTAAGGCAGGACTTTCCCCAAAACTGTTCTTTTTCAAGGATACTGAGAGATGAGAGAGAGAGGCCTGAACCTTTGCTTAACTACCTATTGTTTAAAATAAAAAAAAAAAAACAATGTATGGAATAATATTTAAAATCATTCATAATTTCTTTAGCTGCCTTCTAGATTTATATGTGGGAAGAAGGTCACTTAAAAGTTTCTTTCTTTATTCTAAAAATGTGAAGAAAAATAATAACAGCAAAGGCAAAGGCAAAGAAGATGATATTTGGTGCTTAGATGTAGTTTGAAGTCACAACCCTTTGTGTCTCAAAAGTCTCTTATCACTCACTTCACAGTGGGCAGATCTAATCCAGAGACATATCAAATGTCATCTCCTCGATCTTCCCAACTGAAATAGGACGATATTGGACATGTGACAGTGATGGAAAACTACTTTTTGTGTGCATTCTAATTTCAATCAATTGGTACTGGTTGCATATGATACTATGTTAAGAAAGATTCAAAAGCTACAGGAGTGCTGTCCCTAATTAGAGATGTCTTCATGGGTGCAGCAAGGGGAATGGCAACACATCTGCTATAAATTTGAAAACCCTGAAATAGATCATGTATGAGGTTCTTTCCAGTGCTAAACATTCTATGATTCCTACAAAACCAGAACAAAATTATCTGGCATTAAATCATTCCGTTCAAGGTTAGATGTAGGGCCAGTAATCCCACAAAGTCTTCTGTAAATGGCCTCAGAGGGCAAATGGGAATTTCCAGGTGGGGAGAAGCAACAGTCCTGGACTGCCACCCCAGAGGCTAGCATCGCAGGCCTTTCCAAACCCTCTTATGGTGGGGAGCCAGCCCCACTCAAATCTTTCCTCCCTGCTTCATCATTCTCATTAGGCTTCGTTACTCGCCAGTGACGGATTCTCTTTTAAAGCAGTGGCTCATTATTTTCTTAGACCATGAAATATTTTGAGAATCTGAAGAAAACCACAAACTCTCTTCTCTGCAAAATCCACTTACAAACACATCCATACAATTTAGGATTTTTAGTTATTTTTATAAGTATTTGTTGACCATTTAATCTGTGTCAGGCATTGAGCTAGGCTGTGGGTAATTCTGGGATGTAACAAAGCCTTAGGACTTCATCTAAGGACCAAAAGTTTAAAAGAGCCTTTTAGAGTTTTATTTGGAACAAGCGGCATTTATTGTTGTTGTTATTGTTGTTTGTTAGAACAATAACAAAATAACTAACTGTTTGGAAACTCAGTATTATTGGCAAGACTCTGAAGTTTTGCCTGGGTCATTTATCTTAATTCTAATAACAAACTGTGTAAGGAAAGCATTTTAGAAAAGGAAGTAATATATATCAAGCACTTAGAATAGTACCTGAGACAGAGAATCCTCAATAAATGTTAGTTGCTATTACTATTTTTATTAGCACCATTATTTTTATAACTGAGGTCTGAAAAGCTTAGGTATGTTTTTCAAGATTAAAACTGTGTGATGCCTTATATACTTTACTATGCTCTCATTTTAAGTGATGATTATCTAGTGGGATATATGAGCAAATAAAAGAAGAATGTGGAGGATAGGGGTCCACTGGGGCTTCTAGCCATCCACTCCCAATGTTGTCCAGTACGGTTCAGATTCCTGATAATGTCTGGCAGTCAGAAGCTAAGTGGCTCTGCTGTTTATAGAATTTCTCATTGCTACTTTCTCTGTGAAATGCATTGTTCAGTACTACTAATTCCCCCTCTCTCAACCTCGCCATGTGAAAACTGCCACATACCTATTTTGAAGCAGTCTGCAGGTATCGGTCTATCTGGAGTCTGTTGATGAAAGACACCAGGCTACTTTAGCCTCTGCAACAAGCAAAGCCAGGCCCACAGACGTTGTCCAAGTCTGGCAGGTGCGTTAAGCATGGCAGCACCGAGAAGCGTGTCCAATAGTTCACACGCTTTTCATTGGCTTTTAAACTCTCATTTATAACTCTGCTAAGGAAATTTTCTCAAAACGTTCTGAGAGAAGCCTTGAAACTTAGATTATAAACTATTTTAATAAGTTATAAAAATGGCCATGAGCAATATGAAGTCACGCTAAGGGGCAGGACAGTCAAATTTCCTTGAGGCATTTTTTCAGAGGATGATTATTAAAATCTTTTTGATATGGGATGTTACCTGGATATAAAATAGGAATGCTAAATGTGGCTCACAAATGCTTTCCTATAAAAGGGATAATGATTGGAGACATAAGAAGTCTTGGTTAGAAATAGAATACAGAAATGTGTAACAGTAATTCACCCATGTAGAGAATGGGATTCTGTAAATCGCCTTAGCAATTTGGGAATTGGAGTGGTCCTTAGGAATATCTTTGTAAAGTCAGAATTTTGATGGATATGTCATTCAGCAAATATTTTTAATATGATACCATATGAGGTAGCCAGGACAGAAACAGTTTATAGATGTGTGAGGAAACTGACACCTAAAGAAAATAATCGGGTACAGTGATGTAGGGGATTAGAGTATGCACAAGGATCTATGAAAGTTCAGCAACAGTCTAAATTACAATTATCTGGGAAATATAAAGCAGTGTGTCTTAGCCTACTTTGTGTTGCTATAACAGAAATGTCTGAGCCTGGGTAATTTATAATGGACAGAAATGTATTGCTCAACATTCTGAAGGCTGGAAAGTCCAAGATCAAGGTGCCAGCACCTGGCAAGAGCCTTCTTGCTACATCCTCACATAGTAGAAGGCAAGAGGGCAAGAGAGAGCAAAAGAAGCCAAACTCATCCTTTTATACTGACCCCAACCCCACCTATGAGGGTGGAGCCCTCATAGCCTAATCACCTCATAAGGGTCCCACCTCTTAATACTGTTTCCATGGCAATTAAATTTCAGTATGAGTTTTGAAGGGGCCAAACATTCAAAGCATAGCACAGTGTAAATAAAATAAGGATTTGGCATAATCACACATCCAAGAGATATAGGAGTTTCATTATTACTGTTAGTGTTATTGTTGCTAACTTTGCCTTTTTAATAACATATTTTACTGATTACAGAAGTTATATCTGCTAAATGCCAATAACATGAAAAATACAATAAGCATAAGAAAGACAAAATCATTCGTATTCTCAAACTCCTTCTGCCATACACCCATTATTTGCATTTTGGTATATGTTTTTTCCATACTTTTCATGCATATCTATGTGTATTTTGTTTAGAAAGTGGATATAATGAACACACTGTTTTGTTGCCAATGTCCATTGTAGGTATTAAATGTGTTTAACTGCCTAAATGTCTTTAAAATGCTTAGATTTTAAATCCACAAGGTTTCAGGAGGTAAAAGGTGTAGATTCTAGATTTTGCCTCACAATGTATTAGCCATGCAACTTTGAACAAGTCTCTTAACTGTTCTGAAATGTAGCTATTTTGTCTGCAAAATGAAGATCAAAATAATATTTATTGAACAGGCACTGCTCAAAGTGTTTTCCATATATTATTTTATATAAACCTCCTAGGGTTATATTTCAAGTAAATATTATATGTTCTAAATTTTTCAGATGAGGAAACTGGGATACAAAGAGGCTAAGAGACTTGCCCAAGTTTTCACAGCTAGACAGGAACAGAGCTAAGGCTCAAATGCATAGTCTGACTCCTATACTTCCCTAATGGCCACTAAATGATGCTTTCCATTTCTGAAGGCAGGAGGTTGGACACATGATTTATTAACTCTCTTCGCATTCTAGGATCTATGATAAATGGCCTGTGAAATGAGTATTTTCCTTATATAACTTCCTTAATTGAAAAAATTCAAACCCAAGTTCTCTCAAAGAAATTTTTTCTTTCTCTGCTTGATTTTATGTTGAGTAAAGTATAAATTTCTTACACCTGCCTGTGTCATTCTGTGTTTCTTTGCCTAAGAGCAACTGGTTTCTTGTTACATTTTCCAAGAACTTTCATATGTGTTAACATGGTGCCTGTAACAATGTTTTACAGATGCTGAACTAGCAAGGGTAGTTCACAGTTTTCACCATTTGGCAGGTGGTGCCCTAATGGTTACAGCCACCAAGTTATTATGTCAGTAATTCCTGAATTCAGATATGAAGATTTCTTGTCCTTGCAGGTCTCCCAAACTAAGAAACATACAGTATTAATATTAGACAGTGCTATGTACTATTTTAGATAAGATGGTTTAAAAAGACTTCTCTGAGTAAACAGGAGATATTTGAATTGAGCCTTACATCTTGAGTAGAAGCCAATAATGTAAATGTCAGAGGAAAGAGGGTTCCTGGTAACAGAACAGCAAGTATAAAGTCTGTCAAGTAGAGACAACTTTATATGTTTGATAGAAGAAAAGAAAAGAAAAAAAAACCCAGTGGGATCATAGCGGAATAAACCAGAGAAAGAGTGAAATAATTTGAGTTGAGATGAGAAATGTAGCTAGGTAACAGAAGAACTGGACTACCATCATGAGAAATGTGCATATTATTCTAATTTCAATGGAAAGGCACAGAGGTGGGGTAGGCAGGAGGGATCTAAGCAGAAGAGAGATATGATCTGGTTTATACAAAAAGGCCACCATGGAAAGAGATTAGTCTGGAAGGAAGCAAGAGTGGAAGCAGAAAGCCAATTGGTCATGTAGCTGCTAGGTCATGCCAGTCATGCATGATGGAAGCCTGGTCTAAGGTGGTAGTGGTGAAAATAAAAGGAACTGGTCTTCACCTTGCACAAATATGGCCAACTGTTGCTTTTGCCCAAGAAAAATATGTGTCAATCTTCCCAGCCTGCTCTTACATTGATCCAGTTCTCCAAAACTGATTCCATTTGTTCTCCTCCTTTACCTTTGGATTCGATGTTAGCATTGCCTCCCTCTAATTCTTGATCACTTTCCCCTCCCTGCTCTCAAGATATCTGGATATGTATGAATGGGATTAAGCTGTTCTTCCCAATTGTATCAGCTAATATACGAATCTCAGATGACCTTTCTGCTTCTAAGCCTTAAGTCTGTCCCACCAGCCCGAGCCACGTCTTCCCTATTTGATGGGCTAGAATAGACAGATCTATGATGGTGGAGATTTGCACTCAACCACAGGAATGCCTCACCCAATTTACTATTGCACAGAAACAACTGTGATAGCACTAATGTTTAGACGGCTTCCTTTTATCAGTGATCTCTAGATATAAAAATGTTCTCTCGAGGATTTCCAGTCACCTCGGAATTTTGCATTGTCTTGTATT